GCCAGGCTGGGTGGCGGGCCAGGTCTTGACACTCATCATCTCGCTCAGTCCCGGAGACACTAGCTGGTCTAGTGCACTTCACTACCTCTGTCGGAGGGCGGTTCCGACAGTGGGGCTCTTAAGAAACATAGGGAGACCCTGTCTCTAAATAAAATATAAAACAGGCTGGGGATGTGCCTCAGTGGTTAAGCACCCTGGGTTCAATCTCCAGTACCAAATAAATAAATAGAAACATACCTTTAAAGATGGCTCTGATTTACAGTAAACTAATGGCCTACCAGGACAAAACTCAATTATTCTTGAAAGGAATACAATAAAATCCATATAATCAACATTGGAACATTATAATGACTATCATCCAATAAAAATTACTATACAATGACAAGAATAGGCAAATGTATTTGTTTGGGTTTTTTTTTGGTTTTGTTTTACAGTACTGGGGATTGAATTCAGGAGGGCTCTATCACTGAGCTTTTTTTATTTTTTATATTTTTTAATTTTTATATTAAGACATGACTGTTAGGTCAGTGGTGGCGGTGGCAACTTGGTGGTGACTTGGTGGCGACTTAGAACAAAGCAGCCTGCACCAGAAAAGAACATCAATCAGATGCCAGCAGAAATGCCTGTCAATCAGCCAGATCTCCTGACTAACACCTGTAAATCAGCAGGACCCCCTGGCCAATCCTGGAGTTCAGCCAACTCCCTTGACCAACTCCAAGGGGGCAAGGGACCCTAAAAATACCTCTTCCTGTCCCAAGCCCTTCCCTTCCTGCTGTAAGCCCCATAAAAGTCCAGTTCGGTCAAGCTTCCACGCGGTTTCTCCTCAGACCCTTCCCCTGTCCCCTCTGTGGGTCTGATCGAGTTCCGCCCGGGAGTGATATCTCAAAAGCCTGTTCAGCGGCCCTTTTAAATCTGCCTCCTTTGGTCGCTGCCTACCTGGCCTGATCTGACAATGATCTTGCTAAGTTGCCCAGGTTGACCTTGAAGTTACGAAACTGATGCCTCATGCTCCTAAGTATGTGCCACTGTATAGGCATGTGTCACTGTACCCCACTTAAGAACAGGCAAATCTATAGGAGACCGGATGCCTAGGGCTGGGATGTTGGAAAAATTATTGCCAAAAGGTCAGTCCTTGTCCCATGCCAATCCAATAATGAGGACATGGTTTTGAAAAAAATGAAAAAGAAGGTTTATTGCTTTGCTATCAAAGGAGAAACACAGGGGACTCCTGTACCAAAGGCTATGATTCTGCCCATCATGGGGAACCGAGAGGTTTTTTTTAAAGAGGTGATTTGGAGAAAATGAGATTAGGGAAGAGAGATCAGGAAGGAGAAGACCAGAGAAAAGAAGATCAGGGAGGAGAAAGTTAGGGGAAAGAAGATCAGAGAAGATCAAGGACAAGGTTAGGAAAAGAAGATCAGGAAGGAGGAGAAGGTTAGAGAAAAGAAGATCAGGGAGGAAATCAGGGATAAGAAGATTGGGAAAAAGAAAAAATCATGTAAGTTTCAAAGCCACAAGGATATAGTCAAAGTATCAAGTGAACCTCTGTTACAAATATATTAAGCCACCATTAAATTGTGACTTTGTCACAGGAGAAGAGGTATCCCTATACAAGGATTTATTCAGGTGAGAAGAAGAAAGGCAGAGCTCCCACGGGGCAACTGTACTAGTTTAGGGATTTATATAGCTACTGAGAGGAGCATTGATCACTGTCTGTGCTAATCAGGTCTTAGAAAAGTACCAATGTTATTAGTCAAAAATCTGTGTGAACCAGGTATTATAAAAGTATCAAGGCTATTGGTTCAACCCATGACCTTCTAATTTACTGTGTCCTTTTAGTCCTTGAATTCGAACTTTCCTGTAACTTCCATTTGCCCCACCCCAACATCTGGGACAAAGCCTTGTGGGAATGTTTCTGATTATTTCCATTTACTTGCCTTTACCTTTGAAAAAAAAGTCTTAAATGGGACTTATTACCCTGACTGCCTGACCATTTTACTATTTATCCTACCTATTCATTGAGACACGTTCCAGTAATCAGGAATACTTACTTGTTCTGAAAAACCAGTCTCTATCTCAGAGCAAAGCTGTCCAAGGAAGGGACATGGCCTTTGTCCTTGGAAAAACCCACAGAGCATTCCTAGGCACATTCCCACCCTGCTAAGTTGTTTATCTACAAATAACAGGAGTGATCTGCTGCGCCAGGTGTCCCTGACTCAGTCAGGCTAGGTGGAGATCCATAGCAACCTCCTAGCAGCCACCAATCAGCATGCCAGATGACCCTCCCAGTTTATGGTGGTTGATAACATGTTGGGAAACCATGTAGTTCAGCACGAACACCCCTCTTGGCTCAAACCAATCAGTTCAAACGAATACCCCTTTTGTACTGACCAATCACCCCTACCCAACTTGTTCCTGCCAGTGAATGTGCTAATCATGTTTTAGAGTTGTTATTTGATTTTCCCGCGGTGTGTGATGATTTGCTAAAAGAGGCTATGATATATGTGAAGTCCCTGCCCTCTCCAAAAAATGTATAAAACTGCTGCAAACCCTGGGCTGGGGCCTCTCAGCGTCACCAGTTGCTGTGTGTGTGCGCGGAGGACCAGCTAGCTCGCAATAAACACCTCTTTGCTGCTTACATGGATCTTGGGTCTCTGGTGGTCTTTAGGGGTCCCGAATTTGAGCATAACAGTTCCACAACTAACATGTGCCTGCCACTACTCCTGGTGCCTCAGAATTATGCACTGAGCAAAGGCTACTGCTGATACTGCCAGTTATCAGTGATGAGTTCTGCTCCCTCAAATGTTGAAGTTTGAACATTAGAGAAGCAGGCTGAGGCAAGCATATAACAGGGTTTACTTAAAAAGGAATAACATAGATTTCTTCTGGGAGGGAGAAGGAGGCCTTAGCTGGTATCCTGGTATCCCAAGAAGCAAGGTGTTCTGCCCTTTTTCTATGTCCTAGGCTTTCTTTGTTCTCCAGCCTTCTTCCCCTTATCTTTCTCTCTAAGCCCAGGTATGCTCAGTGGGATGGCCAAAAAGTGGTAAACAGGTGTGCTGAAGAGGAAGGACCGGGTAGAGTAGCCCAGGACACATTAATTAACAACTTTATAACTCCCTGTAGGGAGGGGCGATTCCTGGGACAGGTTACCTTAGCAACGGGTTGGAGCAGGGGCAGGCTCTTGATAAGGGTGGAGGAAGGGCTCTGAATGAATTAACATTTCAATCTCTCAGGGGACAGTCTCCAACTTGCCAACTTGGACTCCCTCAAAATTGTCCTGACTCCATCTGACTTGATTTACCTATCTAGACTTGTTGGTAAAGATGGCACTTATCTTCGGGGAGCTCAGGTCCATGACTCACTGAATGGCATGGGAACCGTCACCTCCAATCCCTGAAGTGGCGTGAACTTTCGGCCAATGAAGAAGTAACAGCCCACTCGCCTTGCTCCTCCTCTCCTGTGTTAAGCCCATAAATATCAATACGCTGTTCGTGTTCCTTCTCTTACTCTTCCTCTCTCTCTTCCTCTCACCCTCTCTCTCTCTCCTCTCTTACTCTCCGCCTCCCCGTCTCTTACTCTTAACTCCCCTCTCCCCTCTCCCTCTCCCTCTCAACAAGCCAAAACAACCATTTTATTAGCAGGACCCTAGTGGCCAGTCACAGAAGAGAAGGGAGAGGGGGAGGGAGGGAGGGAGAGGGGGAGGGAGGGAGGGAGAGGGGGAGGGAGGGAGAGAGAGAGAGAAAGAGAAGAGGGGAGAGGAGAGGGAGAGGGAGAGGGGAGGGGGAGAGAGGGGAGGGGAGGAGAGGGGAGAGGGAGAGGAGAGGGGGGGAGGGAGAGGGGGGGAGAGAGAGGGGAGAGGGAGGGAGAGGGGAGTTAAGAGTAAGAGAAGGGGAGGCTTTTCCATCTTCCTTTATAAAACTGACTGCCTAATTCTAACTTCAGTGCCACAAAAACCTTCATAAGGGTAATTTTTGTTCAGGCTCAAACTTCCTCAGTTGGAGTATTGTTGTAACAGTGCTCCACTTTATGCTTTGAATATAATAGCCCTTGCTGCTCTGCCAATGTGGTTTACTTTTAAAATAGACACATTTCTTTCTCTTCTTTTCCAAATCCCCCCCTACTCCCTAATACATTAGGGGAAACAGGATTACCTTTCTTCCCCATTCTAGGCAGAGTTATCTGTCCTTGAGCACACACACACACCACCATTGGAATGAAATTATTCAAACTTGAAGAAGGCACCGGAAGATCTCAGAAATGACTTAACTCCCAAATTAACAAATGAATTACAACTCCTGACAGATGGAATGTAGCCTTTGAATCACTTCTTTAAAAGCCCCCTTTCTCAATTCCCCCCACCCCCACCCCCCCCACACCAGGTTCAAACCAATTTGCCCAGCAGGAATCCTGTTTTATGTACCCAATCCTGTTTTTTTTGTTTTTTGTTTTTTGTTTTTTTTTTGGTAATTCCTAGTCTAATACTAGAAACTCTCAATAAATACCTATAGTTTCTAATGGTAGATTTTTACCTTTAAAATCATAATCATCATAAAAGATGTGGGGCACTTTTTAAACTTATTTGGTTTGTAAGTTCCATAAAAATGGGAAGCTGTTAAAATATGGGTAACATTTCCATCAAATTTAATACTAGCATATATATTTAATTTTATGTGAATATATATATAATTAAAATTAAAATTGTAATTATAATTGTATAAGTTTGTGGGTCTATGTTGATACTCTATGGGTCAGTTTTCAAAGGCAAATGTTATAGTGCATTCTAGGACACCTGTGTTCACAAGATCAGTTATTTGAAACTATATTTGGAACAAGCTATTAAAAGCTCTTGTACTCAGTGACCTTTAGGCAGAATTTAGATTGAATGCTCACATTGCTGCTGCCTGTTGCTGAGTGGAAAAACAAGCAGAAAACCTTGGATTCAAACATCTATTGGGTTTTGTTTTGCTTTATTTTGTTTCTTTTCATTTTGACTTAAGAAGATGAACAATGAAACCACAACCTCGGTATCCTTGAAGGAGGCAATAAAAAGGTTGCTAAGGGGTCCTAGGGGGCAATAAGCATGTGTCTGAAATTCTGGGAAGATGGGGAAGCAAAGAATAAAGAGTAGAAATAAGAAAAGAACTACAGACATGCTAATTAGAATTTTCTGTTAAAATGGTTTAAGTCTTCCAAGTTCAAAAAAAGTATGTAAATTAAGCTGTTTGCAGTGGCACATGCCTGTAATCCCAGCAGTTTTGGAGGCTGAGACAGGAAAGATTGTGAGTTCAAAACCAGCCTCAGCAAAAAGCGAGGTGCTAAGCAACTCAGTGAGGCCCTCTCTCTAAATTTTATATATATATAAATACATGGCTGGGGATGTGTCTCAGTAGTCAAATGCCCTAGAGTTCAATCCTGGTACCAACTCCCAAAATGTAAAAATCTGCTGTAATGCCATTCAATTCATATACATACTAAATGCTAGATTTACAATAATCCAAACTGAGAGACTTGAGCATGTCTCCTGTTTCCTTGTTGGTCAGCCTTCAATAAAAGCTTTTTGCTTTTGTTAAAAAAAAAAAAAAAAAGTGTAAAATGTGGTTTCTGCCCTCAAGGAGTGCACAGCACAGCTAATGGTGGTTTCTAAAGAGTTAATGGAACACAAGGGCAGAAAACTCAATTTTGCCTTTGACATTAGGAAAAGGACTCTTTCTATAGGAACATTTGAGCAATGAGAGTGAAGTTTATGAGGAAATGAAAATGTGGGAAGGAATCTAGACTGAGGAAACAGTACATGAAAGCCATATGTAAGTTTGGAATTACATATTAGTGACTAAAATGTGTAAGAGAACAGGCAGAAGATGAAGGAAAGGGGAATGGCTTCATGTTTCCTGCTGAGGAGATGCCATTTGGGATCTAAAGTTATTGGGCAAATCAGGGTGGCATAAAAGGTATATCATCTGTTGGGTTACATAATCAGACTGTATTTTTTAATATATACTTCTCTTTAGTTGTAGATGAACACAATGACTTTATTTACTTATTTTTATGTGATGCTGAGGATTGAACCCAGAGCCTCACACATGCTAGGCAAGTGCTCTACTACTGAGCCACAACCCCAGCCCAATCAGATTGTATTTTAAAAACTATGTCTGGAGGATGGATTGGACATGGAAGCAAGTTTCTTGATTACAGAGGATGAGCTGGCTTAGATCTTGGGATGCAGAGGAGAGGATAGATTAAAGAGACATTAATTGGAGGATGAGAGAAAACAGGGTTGAGAATTATTCTGAGATTTTTAGTTCAAGTAATTGGATAAATTGGTAAGGTCATTAACAGAGCTAGGGAATTATAGTAAAAGCAGACTGCAATCAGATTTGCATGTTGTTTAATAATTATTTAGAATGGTCCAGGAATGCCTTTTGGCGGGAGGATTAAAAAAATGCTGCAATTATAAACTTATATACAGATTGACAAGCTAGAATTTATTCCTAGAGTTTAAGCTAGAGATGAGCTATATAGCAATATAGTCTCAAAGATCTAAAAGTTAATACAAACAGTGTGCCAGGTGACATGGTTTTTTACTTGTAGACAGAGACTGTTGCCCTATTAGATTATGCAGGTTTGTATATCTATGAAATGCACATTTCAAATTCCATCTTATCTGTGTTAATAGAATCTGAAGCAGTGAAAAATCCCTCCATAATAATTTCTGAAGATGGAAGGGGTGTTAGTACATTCAGCTCAGGACTGTTGAGTTTGACATTTCCAGGTAGAAATGTGCAAAACAGATGAAAATACAGGTCTAGAGCCTAGGAGCAAGGTAGTACCTGAAGCTGAATTAGCCTTTGGAGAAACTAAGGATCAAAAGAAGATCATCAAGGATAGAGCAACCACAAAGGTATTCAGGTCACTGGGGAAATAACTTGTATTCTTATGCGTCATTTATTTCATGAAAGACAAGTGGGTGGCTTCAGGAAAGTGAGTTTTGTTTCTCCAATTTTTTTTTTTTTTTTTTTGTGGTCCAGTTAGATATAGTTCTGCTGCCATAGTGCCCTCTGGTGATCAGGGCTATTCAAAGCTACTCGATCCCCATGTTGGGTTACAAGGCTCAGCCTCTCATTCACATCACAAATGTCAATCATGTAACATAGAAATATTTTATTACGTCTAGGTAAGACCTCTTCTAGGTATTGGAGGACAGGCATAAAGATATCTAAGAAATGGTCTCTGATTTTCTTCCTCTAAGAACTTAGTTTATGAAAAGCTAACTCTACAAATGAAGTAAGGGTAAAGAGGGATAGGTAATAGAGATCAATCCTATAAGAGAGAAGCAGGAGGGTAAGAAGATCTCCAGATCCAGAGGAAATCAAGAAGGTGGTAGAGGAGCTGGGGTTGTGGCTCAAAGATACAGTGCTTGCCCAGCATGATGTAAAGCACTGGGTTTGATCTCAGCACCACATATAAATAAGTTAATAAAATAAAGGTCCATCAACAAACAAAAATATTTTTAAAAATAATCAAAAACAAGAAGGTGATGAAATTTGAACCTTGAAGGAAATTTGTACAGTCATGATAGGGTAGAGAAAGCCATATAATTATACAGTGGTCCCAGTATTAGCTAGTTACATGACATTAAATCTCAATCTTTCTAAGACTCAATTTCTTTATCTATAAACTAGTAAAAATGACTGTTTCAAATCTTATGGTTGTGAGAATTGAAGTCATGCTTGTATAAAATACTCAAAGTATAAAATATAAAGATAAGACATGATAGATAATTCAAGTAATTAGATAATTAAGAAGTGTGAAGTAAGGAAAGAACAAATATGAACGCTAGAAGGAATGGCAAATGGAAACATCTGTTCATGATTTTATTTATTTATTTAACATTTTTTATTGATACATTATAATTATACATATAGTAGGCTTCCTTTTATACATTCATACATGTACATAAAATAATTTGATCAATTTAATTTCCCAGTACCATCTGTTCATAATTTTAAATTTAAATATTTACCCAGGGGTTGGAGGTATAGCTCTGTGGTAGAGTGCTTGCCTAGCTCACACAAGGCTCTGGGTTTGATACATAGCAACACACACACATACACACACACACCAAATTTCATGGTGGTTGTACATAATGCATTAGAACCTTAGGTTAAAGAAATACCTTAGTTTTTTTCCCCTGACCTAAACTAACTCTGATTCTTTTATCCTATAGAGTAGACCACAAACTCCAAGCTTTAGAAGCACAATTCAAAGAACTGGACAATACCAAAGATAATCTGACACAGAAATTTGAACATCATAGCAAGACTTTGGCAAGCCAAGCAGCTCAAGATGAAATGTGGACAGCAGTTTTGGCACTGAAGTGAGTATTGATAGAGAAATCAGAGGAATTTTATGGTAAAAGCTTTTAGTTGTTATTTCAAAACTGAATTTAGTATGGTCCCAACTATGGATTATGAAGAAATTACATTTTCTTGTGTTTATGCATTGAAAAAAATATCAATTTTAGCACCTGTATTATATGCTAGGCCCTGTGGTACACATGTCATCACAGTGCCTGTTACTTGCCAAAGTCTCACTAGCACAGAGATGGATAATAAAACTCCTTTGTCACTGAAGAACATACAGTAGGGTAGCCTGAGAACATAGCTATCTAGGTTAGTGCAGGGTCTAGTTCTAAAGTAAGTATTTTCTAAAATACAACAACTGGTTCTTCTACTGGATTTGTAATGATCAAATGCATTTTTATGTCTGTTAATAGTGTTCCGTTGCATAAGAAGTCCCCCATGTTTTTTCATAGGTTCACTTCAATTGAATTGAATATTTTATACAGCTACGTCATTGAAGTACTTATCAGCTTGCACACACGTGTACTTGAGAAACTACCAGACCTGGTGAGAGGTCTTCCCACCTTAGCCTCTGTCCTTAGACGAAAAGTTAAGAACAAGCGCATTAGAGTTGTGTGGGAGTCTGTTCTGGAAGAATGTGGGCTGCAAGAAGGAGATATCACAGCACTTTGTACTTTCTTTATTGCATATGGTCACAAGGCAGATCATTATGCTGCTAAAGTACGACAGATGTACATCAGGGATATCACATTCATGATCACTAACATGGTAAAGAACCAGGCTCTGCAGGATGGTTTGCTGAGGGCTGTTCAGGTCATTGAGAAAGGGAAAGCAGAGAGGATCCCTGAAGAGCAAAAGTCACCCCTAAAAGAGTTGATATCATCAGTCAAAAACTAACCTTCTGCCCCACGATCCTGATGTCACTTGTAGTAATTTATCTTGAAAATAGTAAAATGTATGCATAATTTATTTACTGCAGATTTATTGTTATGGCAAAAAGTAAAAGCAGTATTAAAGATTTTGTAAGTGATACAATGAATATTTTCTATTTAGCTCTATAAAAGAATGAAGAAACTCTTTGTTTAATGATGGGGAGTTATCACCATAATGTATTGTTGGTGTTGTTAATTATATATTTATTGTTAAATGGAAAAATATTATATAACATATGTATATATGTTATATAACATATATTCTGCAGAGATTCATAAAATTCTGCAGAGATACATAAGAAATTATATTAGTTGTTTCAGGAAAGAAATTAAGACCTTAGAGGTCAAAGATATGAGGAAGTCATTTCACTGTTAATCCCTTTTGGACATTTTGAATTTTGAACTATGTGAATGTACTACTTATTAAAAGGTGAATAAAAATAAAACACCTAAAATCTATATTATGAGATGCTGGCATATATGTGTTCTCTAGTATAGTATCATAGTTATTTATACTAAAAAGAGAATTAACTGATCATTTATTTATAATGGTTATTGAATACCAAATGCCATGTGCTAGGTGTTGTAATAGAAATATTTAAAAATGTGGACCCTGTTTACAAGGTGAGGATTAAGTACTGACACTTTATTTGGAAGGTACAAATTCAGGTGGTCAGAGTGAGGAGGCATGCTGAAAGAAAGTAGGGTAGAGAAGGATATGAAGTAATATACCTTGAAGATGAGCCATGAGAGACATAGCAGGTTGTTCAACAGGTACATCTATCACTCTGTCCTTCTGTACCCACATACTGTTTGAGAAAGTCAGGCCTTCGAAGGAAGAAGGAAAGCAAATTTGTCTGTTGTACTCACTCAGTCTAAACTGTTTTCAATTGCCCAAAGTTCCTCCATGGGGAGTGATATCCTTCACTTCAATATGCATTATCCATGCCCTCCTAGCAGCTATTAGAAGCCAACTCCACAAAACAAATAAAAAAATTTCAAAAAAGAAGCCAACTCTTCATTGTTCAGAAGTCACAGGAGGAAGATGGGCATGAGGATGCATGCCTGTAATTCCAGTAACCCAGAGGTTGAGGCCAGCCTCAGCAATTTAGCAAGACCCTAAGCAATTTATGGAGAACTTGTTTCAAAATAAAAAATAAAAAGGCTGGGGATGTGGCTCTATGTCATACAAAAATATGTCTCAACTATGTGCTGGGAGTAAAACATGGAGCAAGTGAGTGGTAGAGTGTTTGCCTCACATACGTGAGACATTTGGTTTGATCCTCAACACCACATAATAATAAATAAATTAAATAAAGGTATTGTGTCCATCTACAACTAAAAAAAAAAAATATTTAAAAAAACCCCCCAAAACATGGAGCAAGTAAGGACTGACACAACTGGACAAAGTTAGACCTCGCCTTTTATTAACAGGCAACTGACTGGAATAAAGCTTCAGTATAAAGAAGACAAATATATAGAATGTATGCTGATGACTCCCTTCACCACCCACAGTAGATATCACTAATCCATTATATAGTATGCTGTCCTGCTCAGCCAGATATTCCTTGGGAATTGTACTTTACACATATTCCAGGCATCCACTGCCAACTGGTCAGTTGGCACATGGGATGAACCTACTGCCTTGGAATATATGCCCAAGTCTGTTTCCCATCTCTCTTTTCACAGTAAAATAGTATGCTTCAGGAATTCTTCATATGTGACTTTCTCTTTATAACAGCAAATAACAATACTAGTAACAGTTAACACATGAGCTTCTTATATATAAAATCACTTAGTCCTATGCTATTATTGGACCACAAGTTCCCAAAGTTCTCTACCAAGAACCCACAACTCCTTGTTTAGACTCCACCTGGAAACCATTTCTTTTTTTTAACCTTTATTTATTTATTTATTTTTAAATTTTAGTTGTAGGTGGACACAATACCTTTATTTAATTTATTTATATGTGGTGCTGAGGCTCTAACCCAGTGCCTTACACATGCTAGGCAAGCACTCTGCCACTTGGTTATAACCCCAGCCCTAACCTTTATTTATTTATTCTTATGTGGTGTTGAGGATCGAACCCAGGGCCTCACGCACACTAGGCAAGCGCTCTACCGCTGAGCCACAACCCCAGGCCATGGAAACCATTTCTTTACCCAACCTGAATGCCCTCAGCAAATCCAAATGGACTTAAAGACTGTTTCACGCACATTGATTTCCTTTTCTCTTCCTACGACCTTGTTTATACACCCTTATTTATTATTTGCTTAACAAAACCAAACCTTGGGCCTGGCTTTTAAGTACTCTGGGGGAGGGGGATCACATTCTTTATGAATTTCCCATCATTTTCCTAGCCAAATTCTGTTTCATTTTGTTTTTCATTGAAACCAATTCTGTAGAATCAGTTGTGGTTCAAAAAGTTAATGGCCTGGGTATGTAGTTCTGTGGCAGAGTGCATGCTTAGCACGTGCAAGACCCTGGGTTCAATCCCTAATGCCACTATAACCACACACACAAAAAAAAAAAAAAACACAAAGTTAAAGCTGAAATGCATAAAATGTGAAATTATATTCTTGTTAACCTCCTTTCTAGAGCTTTGCCCTATATGGAAACCTAACGATAAAGTGGTGTACACTTTTTTTTTTTTTTCTTTTTGGTATTGAGGATTGAACCCACAGAGCATTTTACCACTGAGCTATATCTCTAGCCCTTTTTATTTTTTTGAGACAGGGTCTTGCTAAATTGCTTAGGGCCTCATTAAATTGCTAAGGTTGGCCTTGAACTTGTAATCCTCCTGCCTCAGCTTCCCAAGTCTATGGGATTACAGGAGTGGTGAAGGCGTTCCTGCACCTGCTGTCTGACAGGGTAACAGCATGGGGGATGCACCATCTGGAAACTGGAACCATTAGGAATGTTAAGTGTTTTGTTGATGATACTCTTGATATGGATAACAGGGCATACTCAATCAATAATAAAAGTATGTATTGCCTGAGATTGCAGGAAAATTCCCAGAATGAGACTAACAATTGAGACATGCCATGAGGCTCATTTCAGTGTCTCTCAGGATACAAACAATGGTGTTATTCCTCAAGCTTAAACAACAAGAAATATTTATTCCATGGATTCCATATTATTTATTTATAACAATTCCAAATATTTATTCCATGGATAACTAGCCCCCCCCCAACCCCATCCTAAAGCCACAACCTGTACAATAGCCTAGCTACCGAAAAACAATTGCTGTGCCAACAGTACAAGGACCACCATATGTAGCTTATGGTATCCCCCCAAGGACAAGAGGCTAATAAAAATACATTCCCCAACCAATAGACCCTCCTTTGCCTTACACAGAAACTTATGATGAAAATGGAAAACACATAGTTAATATAAATGACAAATGGGTTGAGGTGCAGAGCCTGCTCTTTAATTAAAAGATTACAAAGACATAAGAATTGATGTGCTTTGACCAAGGATCAAGGAAGTTCTTTAAGAAAGCAGTTGAATAGGTCATATGAAAAAAGGAAATTACCTTGGAAATTAAAAATAGAATCATGTAAAATTAACATAGAAATTTTAGAGGCACTTCAGAGTAGTAGGCTTTTAAATAATAGAATTTCACTACTTTAAGTGTGTTTTACTGGGATTTTAGTTTAGAAGTAAGAAAGCTTACCAATAATCATAAATATGCTTTAAAGTTAAAGGTTAATGAAATAATTATAGGTATGCTTTAAAGTTAGAAGTGAACAATAGGTCAGGAGTCATGTAGTCTAGTTGCCTTACCTAGCACCTAGTGATTGAGGTGAAAACGTAAAACCTTAATCATGATTGACTTAGGTTACAGAACAATATTTTGAACAATGTACTCAATATCTTAGGTAATCAATGTATTATGCTCAAACTCGGGACCCCCAAAAGACCACCAGAGACCAAGATCAATGTAAACAGCAAAGAGGTATTTTTTTCGAGCTAGCTCGGTCCTCCGCTTGCGCACACACAGCAACTGGTGACGCTGAGAGGCCCCAAGCCCAGGGTTTGCAGCAGTTTTATACATTCTTTGGAGAAGGCAGGGACCCCCACATACATCATAGCATCTCTTAGCAAATCATCACACACCGCGGGAAAATCAAACAACTCTAAAACACGATTAGCACATTCACTGGTGGGAACAAGTTGGGTAGGGGTGATTGGTTAGTACAAGAGAGGGATTCGTTTGAACTGATTGGTTTAAGCCAAGAGGGGTGTTTGTGCTGAACTACATGGTTTCCCAACACCATAAACTACTGGGAGGGTCATCTGCATCCCAGGTATTTCCCTGTCTCTTGGATTAGTGGCTGCTAGGGGTTGCTATGGATCCCCACCTAGCCTGACTGAGTCAGGGACACCTGGCACAGCAGATCTCTCCTGTTATTTGTAGATAAACAACTTAGCAGGGTGGGAATGTGCCTAGAAGTGCTCTGTGGGTCTTTCCAAGGACAAAGGCCATGTCCCTTCCTTGGACAGGCTTTGCTCTGAGGTAGAGGCTGGTTTTTCAAAGCTTGCAGTCCTCAAGGTTTTAGAAAGGAAGGCAATCCTAAAACAATCTATCTCTAAGCAGCAGACTTAAAGGGGCTGGTCTATAGAAGGAAGTATAAGTGCCTGTCAAGTTGTTTCAGGTCTACAGTTACTTTGACCATTAACTTCTCGGAGAAGTGAACCTCTGGTAACAACTTTCTTAGGGATGCTTTCCTAATGTTTAATAAATAGAAGGCCGTTGGACTGAGTTCTTATACTATGCCTAATAGACCAAACCGAAATGGATTTACTCATGCCAAATTTCCAGGCCAGGTAATCAAAACTAACCTTCCAAAATAAATCAGGTGAGATGAGACTGTGAATGTAGCTTAGTGGTAGAGTACTGGACTAGCATGTACAAGGCCCTGGGTTCATCACCAAAACTGAGAGAGAGAGAGAGAGAGAGAG